CAAAAGCTTTTCTTCACCCTAACTGAAATTATGCGTTTTAAATTCGTTCGAATTTTATATTTAAGTATAAAATTAGAATTTAGTTTTTCAGCCATTTTGACAGCCCTACTTCACAGATCTTTATTGAAAAGGATTTAAACAATATTTTTTCATACTTTTTCAATTAACCATAAATAATTATTACACATACACCTGTGGAAGTTTTTGAGACACTCACGGTTTACAGGCGGCAGATTATAATAACTTAGGACTGTAAAGAGACCTTTCTACTGACTCCTACTAGGACTGTCCAGGGTCCCTGATCATGGTTGAACATGCCATAGTCCTGCTGCAAGGAGACATGAGGACTGCTTATGTGGCCAGAGCAATAAACTGCAATGTCCATAATGTACTGTAAGAGGCCTATAAAACAGTGCTACAGAGAGACAAAGACGACTGATCATTCTTGCAATGGCAAACCATGTGTCCCCAGACGCGTTTGAGAACTTGCAAGTGCCTTGGTGGAAAAGTGGGGTAATATCTCACAGCGAGAACTGGCACATCTCCATGTCCATGAGGATGTGATGTACTTACTGTAACTTTTGAAATTGACACACCTCTGTTTAGGGACTCACCCCATTTGTTCAAACGTTATTAAAACTTCTGACTTTGTAAAAACATCTGCCTGTTAAAATATTTGACAGAAATAAAAGCAGTTGAAAGCGAGGACCTTAGGATTTATATGCACACAATGACAAGCAACTGGAGAAACACGCACTAGTGATGTCAATGTACAATCAACATTTAGAGGACAAAGAAACTAGTTACCCATGATTTTTTTTTTACATAACCAGCCTGCGATCACACCTTGACCCAAGCAGTCGTAATCAGTACAAAGAACTCTTAAAATAATTTAAACGGATTACATAACCACAGAGAGAATGCCAAAGAAAACTGAAGATGAGGTAAATGTGCCAACAATAGAACGTCACAGGTGAAATATATTGAACCACTAGTAGACAAGTGTTTCTTCCTCCCCTCCCCCCTTTTCCTAGAAGACATCATACACCTCACATTAAATACTACTGCATCAGTGGACCACATTAAAGCCCTTGCTGATTTAGAGAACCAAAAAAAGAACCCAGCAAACACAAATACCAAGTTTGTGATATTTATGGTTTAAAAAAACAAAAAACAAAAAAAAACAAACAAACATCATGACTTCTATGACTTCACTTGCTGCAACAACCTCAACATGCCTGGTGAGAAGCGTTCATCTTGAGTAGTCTGGAAGCGCAGTGGTGCTGCATCCTGAAGGTGAGGCAGCAACACAGACTCATAGCTTGAAACAAGTTGTACATTACTGGGTTGCTCTAGGGGTTGGGAACCAAAACTGGAAAGAGACCCATAACTTGACTGCTCTAGCATAGAAGGGAGCTGGAATCCAGGCTGAAGAGACACAGATTGGCCACTGGGCTGGGACACAGACTGGTAGTGAGCTTGTGCTGACTGGTAGTTGGTTTGTGATGACTGCAGGCCACTGGGTTGCGAGACAGACTGGTATCGGGTCAGTCCTGGTTTTTGGCCACTAGGCTGTTGCGTAGACTGGTAGCTGGTTTGTGCGGACTGCAGGCCACTAGTTTGTGGCACAGACTGGTAGCTAGCTTGTGCCGACTGCAACCCACTAGGCTGTGAGATAGGCTGGTATTGGATCGGTCCTGGTTTTTGGCCATCAGGCCGGGGCACAAACTGGTAACGTGTTTGGGCTGATTGGTAGCTGGTTTGTGCTGACTGCAGGCCACTAGGGTGGGGAACAGACTGGTAGCTGGTTTGTGCTGACTGCAGGCTACTGGGTTGAGAGACAGGCTGGTATCGGGTCAGTCCTGGTTTTTGGCCACTAGGCTGTTGCATAGACTGGTAGCTGGCTTGTGCGGACTGCAGGACACTAGGTAGAGAGATAGGCTGGTATCGGGTAAGTCCTGGTTTTTGGCTACTAGGCTGTTGCATAGACTGGTAGCTGGCTTGAGCGGACTGCAGGCCACTGGGTTGGGAGACAGGCTGGTATCGGGTCAGTCCTGGTTTTTGGCCACTAGGCTGTTGCATAGACTGGTAGCTGGCTTGAGCGGACTGCAGGACACTGGGTTGAGAGACAGGCTGGTATCGGGTAAGTCCTGGTTTTTGGCCACTAGGCTGTTGCATAGACTGGTAGTTGGCTTGAGCTGACAGCAGAGCAGTAGGTTGGGGCAAAGATTGGTAGCTGGTTTTTGCTGACTGCAGGCCACTAGGTTGGGGCACAGACTGATAGCTGGCTTTTGCCGACTGCAGGCCACTGGGTTGAGAGACAGGCTGGTATCGGGTCAGTCCTGGTTTTTGGCCACTAGGCTGTTGCATAGACTGGTAGCTGGCTTGAGCGCTGGCCAAGACTTGAACTCAGGATGGGCCTGCCACCAGAAAATAGCTTGGAACCAACTAGTCTACTTCTCTGGGGCTTGACAAAGGACTGGGCATTAGCTAACAGTTGACCACTGGACTGGGAGCCAGTCTACACTGGTTGCTGGCTATTAAAGGCCACAGATTCCTTACTAGTCTGCACTACAGTTTGATAGTTAAGCTGTGCTGGCTTGGCTACAGTCTTACTTCTCACACTTGTACTCAATGCAGTGGCTAGAGAACCAGAAACAAAACTGCCACCTGAAGATATCAGAGAGCCTGGATTTTGCCTTCTAACATCAGATTCAGGACCAAAGTTATATACACTAGTCACTGGACCAGAGCCATAGGAGCCAGTTTGAGGGCTATAGCTTACACTGCTATATACACCATTAACTGTAGCACCACAAGTGAAATTCTTGGATTTTAGTGGCCTAAAGGGATCTGATAAATCTCCTTGGTCATACCAGCTGGAACTTTGCTGCTTCACATCCTGCATTGGGAGGCCAGTCTCGTAGTAACCAGGATAACCTCCACTGCTAAAGCCACCAACTAAAACACAAGTACAAAAAAAAAAAATAATAAAATAAAAAAAATAATAAAAAGTCAGACATCTTGACAAACTTGAATTATAGAACTTATAGATGGGACATTTGACACTGATGCTCCAAAGCCCATTTTACTCCATTGAAGCAGACTGGTTCAAAAGACTATGCCAAGGCTTGTATCAAATCTCTGCAATCACGTGACGATGACACTTGAGGCTTCACATGTCAATGAAACACCTATAGCAAGGTGACTGATTCACATCTTTGGCGTGGCGTTATTAATAAGGAGACGTGAAATGCTTGGTGCTCCCTCCCTGCTTCATAGTAACACTTTCATATGTGGACAATGATTCTCAGAATGAAGACAGCTGCGATTGCAGAGTATTGCTTTTGGGTTGAAACTGGGATCAACAAGCTGTGAATCATTTGAAAATGGCTGCTATAATTGCAGCTGACCACTAGATGTCACTGGTAGGGTCTGTCTTTGAGGCTTTAAAGCTTTGAATCTTTTTTTGGTACAATCAGGAAAAAGCCTCCGAAGTGTCACAAGGCTTCATCTGCCCATCTCTAACAGAACTTGACTGAATAAGACTTACCACTTCCAATACACCCATGGACACAAAAGCCAAAAAGTGCTAGAGAAAATCTGCAAAACAAACACATGTTAAAGACTTCGCTTGACAGGAGAGAGAAGAAAAAAAAAAAAAATTCCAATACACCCATGGACACAAAAGCCAAAAAGTGCTAGAGAAAATCTGCAAAACAAACACTAGTTAAACACTTTGCTTTACAGAGAAAAAAAAAAGAAAAAAAAAAGACAGAAACAAATCAAAAATAAACCTTAAGAGTTGGACAGTGGTACCCTCCATGTTCAACAACAACAAAAAAAGAAGAAACAAAACACCTTAACAAAACCAATACAAAATCAGGAGACACATTTATACCCCCCACAGCACATATTAGTGCTGTTGAACTGGACTTTTTATAGTGCCTGCTACTGCCAATTGTCAGACAATCAGTTGTCATGGGAACATGTAATATACAGTTATTAGGTTCAGGTGTCACAGCCCTCATTACAGGCAAAGCTGACCTTCTGATGTAAAACACGTAAAAAGAAATATGCAACATGAGCAGATCTAAACTTAATGCGCAATCGACAATTTTTATGTCATTTTCATTTTCACTTTATTTGCGACAGCTGTAATTGATTTAGTTTAATTGTGCAGGGGCATTTTTGTTCAGTTTGGTGGCATTTTTTGCCCCAAGTTAATTTCAGACCCATGGCCAGGGGAAGGTAAGTCTACACACACCGCCTTTGGCAGCATCCTAATATGTTAAAGTTACGGGTTTAATAATGCTAATATTTTCATTAACAGGGAAAAAAATCATTTTCAATTTGAGCAGTGGTGTATAACTAATAAATTCTTAACAGTTTAAGGGGCGGTTTCCCAAACAGAGATTAAGCCTAGTCCTAGAATTGGCCCTCTAAACTAGATTAACTGAAATCTGCTTTCTATGTCATGGTTTTAAATAGTCTTTTAGACTTAGTCTAGTCCAGAATTAAATAGCCTGATTCCTGGAGGAAGAATAGAGCTATATCAGAACTAAATGGAGGCTTAAATTAAACCTATACCAGGAGGCAGGATTAACTTTGATTAACGTTGTGTTTCCAGTCTTTATATACAGTATGCATGTATATATGTATTGTAACGGGGTGAAGAATCACACGACAAGTAATCTCAATC